GAGCCCGAAAGCTCAGACAAGTAAAAGTATGATTCCGGTGATCGCAATGCCTTCTACTGCTCTATATTAATGTAGTTGAATTCGTTTCCTGCTTCAGCTGAGAATCATTTGTTCCGCAAGTAGACTGAAGGTGTGCGCGGCGCTTCACGCCATGGACCATACTAAGCTAACTCCAGAACGGTAAGTCGGACCCAAAGTAAGTTGAAGTAGACGACTTCCTAACCATCATTTCTATTTTTTTTCCAGGAATTTCAAGAAACCTGCATTTTTGATGATCGGGTTTTTCCGCAATATGTTAAACGATAATACAGATTAGAAAAATCTACAGATATAAATCAACAACATTTCAAAATAAAATATAAATGCATATAGCAGTCGTTAAAGTATATTCCATTGTTTATCCTAATTCTCCACCTACAAAACCCCTATAACCACCGTTTCCGTAGGACAAAATACTGGGACTGGAGGTATATGAGGTGTGTAAACACGTGCGCCCGAATAGTCGCGGCTTCCTAAGGGTCAACTGAACATACCACCCCTCGGTCAACGCAACATCAGCCTCTGCGCGCGACGCCTTTCGGGCAATGCGAAACACTAATAGCATACCGCTCGGAATCGCTTCACAATCCTGTGAAAGCAACAGCCATCGACACCTCTCATAGATACGCACAATCGCAGACACTCTCAGGCACTACTGGATGCAGTCAAAACCAGTCCTGGCTTTGCCAGTGGCCACTGCTGCCTGAGACAGCAACATAGGATTCTGTGCACAAAAACGCCCTCATTCTGGTGACTTCTGTCTTTTACCTACAACCTGGGAAATGGCCTGAAGAGATTGTAGCGCTCCAAATACAATCCCTACTTAGACGCTAAAAGACGAGGTTCCAGGTTAACTTTGCTCTTTTGTGTATTTATTAGACTTTGGTCTTAGCCGTGTTCTTTTTTTCCTGCCGTTTCACTTCAGGTAACCATGTGCCTCGTGGCAAACTACTCTATGCCCTTTGTGACAAATCCCGTGAGTCTGGGCAGACGAATCCGCGGTTGGCCTCGAGAGCCACTGCGAGGTAAACACGAGACCATCGGCGAGCGCCTGAGGGGTATTCGGGGCGAGATGAGCATTCTGTTGAAACGCCTGGAAGAGTGCCTGGACCTGGTGCAGGAAAAGATGTTTCAGGACAAGATCATCGAGAACTACTACCGCATGCACGTGCACGCCCAAGAGAAGGCCAGTAAACAGCTGCTTCGATGCATCCAAGAACAGCGCAAGTACGGCGACGC